GGGGGGACAGGGGAGGAAGGGGGGGGGGGTGGGGGACAGGGGAGGAGGGGGGGGGGGTGGGGGACAGAGGGGAAGGGGGGGGGGGGGTGGGGGACAGAGGGGAAGGGGGGGGGGTGGGGGACAGAGGGGAAGGGGGGGGGGTGGGGGACAGAGGAGGAAGGGGGGGGGGGGTGGGGGACAGAGGAGGAAGGGGGGGGGGGTGGGGGACAGAGGAGGAAGGGGGGGGGGGTGGGGGACAGAGGAGGAAGGGGGGGGGGTGGGGGACAGAGGAGGAAGGGGGGGGGGTGGGGGACAGAGGAGGAAGGGGGGGGGGGTGGGGGACAGAGGAGGAAGGGGGGGGCGAACAGAGCAGGGATGGGTTGGGGGGATAGAGGGGGAAGGGGGGGGGGTGGGGGACAGAGGAGGGAAGGGGGGGGGTGGGGACAGAGGAGGGAAGGGGGGGGGGTAGGGGACAGAGGAGGGAAGGGGGGGGGTGGGGGACAGAGGAGGAAGGGGGGGGGGTGGGGGACAGAGGAGGAAGGGGGGGGGGTGGGGGACAGAGGGGGAAGGGGGGGGGGTGGGGGACAGAGGGGGAAGGGGGGGGCGAACAGAGCAGGGATGGGTTGGGGGGATAGAGGGGGAAGGGGGGGGGGTGGGGGACAGAGGAGGGAAGGGGGGGGGGTGGGGACAGAGGAAGGAAGGGGGGGGGTGGGGGACAGAGGAGGGAAGGGGGGGGTGGGGGACAGAGGAGGAAGGGGGGGGGGTGGGGGACAGAGGGGGAAGGGGGGGGGTGGGGGACAGAGGGGGAAGGGGGGGGGGTGGGGGGACAGGGGAGGAAGGGGGGGGGTTGGGGGGACAGGGGAGGAAGGGGGGGGGGTTGGGGGGACAGGGGAGGAAGGGGGAGGGGTGGGGGGACAGGGGAGGAAGGGGGGGGGGGTGGGGGGACAGGGGAGGAAGGCGGGGGGGGTGGGGGGACAGGGGAGGAAGGGGTGGGGGGACAGAGGGGAAGGGGGGGGGGTGGGGGACAGAGGGGAAGGGGGGGGGGGTGGGGGACAGAGGGGAAGGGGGGGGGGTGGGGGACAGAGGGGGAGGGGGGGGGGTGGGGGACAGAGGGGGAGGGGGGGGGGTGGGGGACAGAGGGGGGGGGTGGGGGACCGAGGGGGAGGGGGGGGGGGTGGGGGACCGAGGGGGAGGGGGGGGGGGTGGGGGACAGAGGGGGAGGGGGGGGGGGTGGGGGACAGAGGGGGAGGGGGGGGGGTGGGGGACAGAGGGGGAGGGGGGGGGGGTGGGGGACAGAGGGGGAGGGGGGGGGGGTGGGGGACAGAGGGGGAGGGGGGGGGTGGGGGACAGAGGGGGAGGGGGGGGGGGTGGGGGACAGAGGGGAGGGGGGGGGGTGGGGGACAGAGGGGAAGGGGGGGGGTGGGGGACAGAGGGGGAGGGGGGGGGGGTGGGGGACAGAGGGGGCGGGGGGGGGGGGTGGGGGACAGAGGGGGCGGGGGGGGGGGGTGGGGGACAGAGGAGGCGGGGGGGGGGGTGGGGGACAGAGGAGGCGGGGGGGGGGGTGGGGGACAGAGGAGGCGGGGGGGGGGGGTGGGGGACAGAGGAGGCGGGGGGGGGGGTGGGGGACAGAGGAGGCGGGGGGGGCGGTGGGGGACAGAGGAGGCGGCGGGGGGGGCGGTGGGGGACAGAGGAGGCGGCGGGGGGGGGTGGGGGACAGAGGAGGCGGCGGGGGGGGGTGGGGGGACAGGGGAGGAAGGGGGGGGGGGGGTGGGGGGACAGGGGAGGAAGGGGGGGGGGGTGGGGGGACAGGGGAGGAAGGGGGGGGTGGGGGGACAGGGGAGGAGGGGGGGGGTGGGGGACAGGGGAGGAGGGGGGGGGGTGGGGGGACAGGGGAGGAAGGGGGGGGTGGGGGGACAGGGGAGGAGGGGGGGGGGGGGACAGGGGAGGAAGGGGGGGGGGTGGGGGGACAGAGGAGGAAGGGGGGGGGTGGCGGACAGAGGAGGAAGGGGGGGGGTGGCGGACAGAGGAGGAAGGGGGGGGGGTGGCGGACAGAGGAGGAAGGGGGGGGGTGGCGGACAGAGGAGGAAGGGGGGGGGGGTGGCGGACAGAGGAGGAAGGGGGGGGGTGGCGGACAGAGGTTGAAGGGGGGGGGTGGCGGACAGAGGTGGAAGGGGGGGGGGTGGCGGACAGAGGTGGAAGGGGGGGGGGGTGGGGGACAGAGGTGGAAGGGGGGGGGGTGGGGGACAGAGGAGGAAGGGGGGGGGGTGGGGGACAGCAGAAGGGATGGGGGGGGGTGGGGGACAGCAGAAGGGATGGGGGGGGGGTGGGGGACAGCAGAAGGGATGGGGGGGGGGTGGGGGACAGCAGAAGGGATGGGGGGGGGGGTGGGGGACAGCAGAAGGGATGGGGGGGGGGTGGGGGACAGCAGAAGGGATGGCGGGGGGGTGGGGGACAGCAGAAGGGATGGGGGGGGAAGGGAAGGGGGGTGGGGGAGATTGCGAAGGGGGGTGGGCAGAGGAGGATGGGGGATGGGGGACAGAGGAGGAAGTGGGGGGGGTGTACTGAGCAGGGATGGGTGGGGGGGACAGAGGGGGAAGGAGGGGGGAGAGAGGGGGAAGGAGGGGGGAGAGAGGGGGAGAGAGGGGGAAGTGGGGGTTGGGGGACAAAGGAGGGAAGGGGGGGACAGAGGGGGACAGTGGGGGAAGGAGGGGGGACAGAGGGGGAAGGGGGGGGACAGAGGGGGAAGGGGGGGGACAGAGGGGGAAGGGGGGGGACAGAGGGGGAAGGGGGGGGACAGAGGGGGAAGGGGGGGGACAGAGGGGGAAGGGGGGGGACAGAGGGGGAAGGGGGGGGGGACAGAGGGGGAAGGGGGGGGGGGACAGAGGGGGAAGGGGGGGGGGGACAGAGGGGGAAGGGGGGGGACAGAGGGGGAAGGGGGGGGACAGAGGGGGAAGGGGGGGGGACAGAGGAGGGATGGGGGGGGGTGGGGGACAGCAGAAGGGATGGGGGGGGGGTGGGGGACAGCAGAAGGGATGGGGGGGGGTGGGGGACAGCAGAAGGGATGGGGGGGGTGGGGGACAGCAGAAGGGATGGGGCGGGGGGTGGGGGACAGAGGAGGGAAGGGGGGGTGGGGGACAGAGGAGGGAAGGGGGGGGGGATTGGGAAGGGGGGTGGGCAGAGGAGGATGGGGTGGGGGGACGTACAGAGCAGGGATGGGTGGGGGGGACAGAGGGGGAAGGAGGGGGGAGAGAGGGGGAAGGGGGGGGACAGAGGGGGACAGAGGGGGACAGAGGAGGGAAGGGGGGGGTGGGGGGGGCAGAGGAGGGAAGGGGGGGGTGGGGGACAGAGGAGGAAGTGGGGGCGGGGTGGGGGGCAGAGGAGGGAAGGGGGGGGCAGAGGAGGGAAGGGGGGGGCAGAGGAGGGAAGGGGGGGGCAGAGGAGGGAAGGGGGGGGCAGAGGAGGGAAGGGGGGGGCAGAGGAGGGAAGGGGGGGGCAGAGGAGGGAAGGGGGGGGCAGAGGAGGGAAGGGGGGGTGGGGGACAGAGGAGGAAGTGGGGGGGGCGTACAGAGCAGGGATGGGTGGGGGGGACAGAGGAGGAAGGAGGGGGGTGGGAGACAGACGAGTAGGGGGGGGGGGTGGGGGACAGTGGATGGAAGGGGGGGGGTAGGGGACAGAGGCGGAAGGGGGGGGGGTGGGGGACAGAGGATGAAGGGGGGGGACAGTGGTAGGGACGGGGGGGGGGGGTGGGGGATGGTAGAAGTGAGGGGACGGGGGGGGTGGGGGACAGCAGAGGAAGGGGGGGGGACAGAGAGAGAGAGGTGGCTTACAATCAACAAATACACAGTATGTAGATTGGCATGTTAGGTTGTTATTTTTCTGGTCCTAGAACTAGAAGGATTATCATGGTGCAAAAAAGACAATGAAAAATAAATGAAAATGCTCTCCCATGTCCAAGAATTGCAGAAAAACTGCAAAGAGAGTGATCTCCAGCAAGAGATCTTTCCTCAATGTCAGTCAGCCCTTAAATGGAGTCTAGGAGAGGTCGACCAAGGCCACCCCGCCGGTCACACAGGTGAAATGCCTTCACCTGTGCTCCTGCCGCTGAAAGTGCTTGTCTCAGGTGATCAAAGTTTCAGATTGTGACTAATAGTTCCCATGCACTCCAGCCCTTTGTGACATGAGCTAACGATCAAGTTAACTACAGGAAGAACCTTAACTAATACAGAGATCTGATGCTTATACATGCTTTGCAATGCATGTTAATACAATTTAAAATGAGTGATGATTGGTGTATGGTGGAAGTCCATGCTCTTTCATGGGCCAGTGCACAGGGGTGCTACTGGAGGCAACCCAGTTTTGCACTGCAGATTCATACTATGCTCCATCAGTTCCATGTAGACCATTACCATGTGTCACACATGATCTGACAGCAACACTGGGAAGTTTTGATGGCATTTCTTTCCTTCTGGTGATCCCTAGAGGCTCAAAAACCATAGGGGAGGGCAAACAGGGAATGGGGGGGGAGGGGTGAAGGGAGGGGAGAGAATATGAAGGGGAACAAGAGAGGGCACACGAAAACGTCATCTTCTCTTTGTGCTTCGAAGTATGAAGACTCAGCATGCCAGATTTTGTCATGAAAACCTGTGCTCTTTCTTCACCATTTTTTTTTTAAAATTAATTTATAATCCTTCCAAGATCTGAACGCTGCTTTTTTGTAGCAACAGAAAATAAAGCCTCCAATAGAGATCCACAGATAGTTAAAACAAGCAAACAAACCCTTCTATGTTGCTTTTATTCATCTTTTTAGCAGAAATGTCTTTTCTGAAGAAAGTGCTTATCAAAAGATTCAAGACATTTTGAAAGCATTGTGGACGAGGAGTCAATACAGCTAGAAGCAGTGACTAGGAAGAGCACATGCTGATTTCCTCTCATGGAAACCTTATGCATTTTCCTTACCTTATTATATGAAATATATTTGCCTTGTTAGGGAAGCAGAGCCTTGGGACTGGCATTTGCATCTGTGTAATCCTCTGACCACTGAGAGTGGTGACCAGAAATCAGTTCTTGACTGCAAGATCAAATATTCAATGAGGAGTTTGGCACCACATAAGTGAGCCATAAGACTATAAGCTGTAGTTTCCTTTTTGGCTAAACATTATTAATACCAGTAATCCACAAATTCAGCATCATTTAAAACTGATAATAGCAGGATGCTGTTAGTTTGAACTCATGTAGACCCTTGGCCCTTAGGAACTCTGTAAAAAGAGATTTCCAACTCTAGAAATTTGTGTCTGTTTTTTTGGTTGTTTGAAAACTCTTCTTTCAGATGGAATACCACAATAAGGATTTCTCTTGCATTTCTTCCTGAAAAGAAATCCTCCTAGATATCAGCAGTACTGGAAACTTTTAACTCAAGTACATGCACAAAGTAAGCAGTTTCAGCCTTGGCACCAAGTGCTGGCAGAGACACTCAGCTGTGTTTTGAAAGGGCCACCTCCAGGAGCAAAATACAGGTTCAACAACACAGTTTGTATAATATTTTCCAGTATTTGCTGTGTGTGTTAGTGATTCTTCATACTTTTAAGATCTGTTCCATCAAGCAATAGAAGGAAATAGAGAATATAGTGGTGTTTTTCTTGGTAGTACGTTTGAATCTAGATTTCCTTGGGCAGGGCTGGTTTGGGTCTTTTACATAAAGCTATAATGGTTAAAGCAAGGTATTTTATCAATCTCATCACTGAAACATTTTCCAGAAAATGCTCTAAAAGGCCCGAATAAACAAGATTTTGGATAGATTAATAACAGTTTTATGTGTTCATTAGGGGAATTATAATAAAATAAAACAATAAATATATGAATAAACTATAATACAGCTTAAAGTTACAATAACAGTTACTTGGATGCAGTAATAAAGCCTAATTCACAATAGTACTGAGCAGTGAGAAGTAAAGCTGTTAACTGCAATAACTGGCAGAAACATATTAAGGTCTACAGGAGAGCCTCAACAGCAACAGGGTGCATCTACACAAAGGCATGTCCACAGGAGGTTGCACCTTGCAAAGGGGCGCATCTACACAAGCGTGTGCCTAGTCTGCAAGCAATGGGGCACATCCACTTACTCTTAGTAATTCTTCATTTTTTCCTTGTCCTTTGATTTCTTCTGAATTCCTCATTGAAGCTGAAGTAGAATTTCTTACAGCATTCTTCCTCTTTTCTTAGTTTTCCATTGCTTGCTTTGTTAAAATAACCAGTTTTCAGTGCATTAATAATACCTGATATCTGTGATGCTTACATTTTAGTCATTCAATATGAAGTGCAATTTGTATTGAATCAACAACATTTTAGTGTGTTCTTTTTTGCCCCCTCTCACCAAAAATACTTCATCTTTCTAGCTTTTCTTTTGCTTTCGATGTTCTTAATCTTTGTGGGTGTTTTTTTTTTTTTTTAAAAAAAAAAAAACAAAACAAAAAACCACACTCTATGGTAGTCATCCTGAGAACTAAATTTCTTTTTCATTCATCCGTTATATACGTTAAGGATATAAAGCTACTTTTTAAAGTTACTAACTTCTTTTACACATTGTATTCTTGTACTACTTCTGCTGCTGAACTACAATTACCCCCTTCTCACTACATTGTTCTGATTCAAGCTTATTTTGAATACATTTAGCTCTAGCTAAGTAAGTGCGAGGATCCTCATTTCTTAAAATGTGATACAATGTACATCCCTTGATCATATATCAAGGAGTTGTTTTTAATCTTTTGCTATTTTCACCATCCATTATTTTTTTGATCTAGATTATACCTTGTAGCTCATGTTTTCATTTATTAAATAAAATTAAGTCATTTCTTTGAGCAATACTTTTAGAAACTATTTGCTTTATCTGACTTTAAGGCAGAGAAGGAAATGAATTAAACTGTTTCTATCCAGTTTAACTATCTCACTTGAAAAGCAATAGTCATAGACCAGTAACAAGAAAAGAATACTTACCTTATTCCAAATGAATTTCCATTGAAAACTTCCCAGAGACAAAGATCTCCACAAATAGATACTGCCCTCCTCGCTGCTGGCCCTTAAATGAGGGAGAGGTTTACCCAGGGTGCATCTGTCCTGTTGTGCAGATGAATTGCCTGCACCTGTGCTCCCAGGGCTCGTCACGCCTCTTCCCCAGGTGCTCAATCACAAGTGCAGGCTGTGACCTAACAGTTCCCATACAAACTTTCATATGGATTTTGATGGGTTGCTCGTGGTGATTTTATCAACAATTTTTTTCATTTCAATGAAGGCTTTAGTATTATAGAGGCAGAGGGAAATTAGACCTCTGTTCTTGATACAGTTGTGAAAAAAAAAACTGTTATTTAAAAAAAAAAAAAACAAAACGAACATTGGATTTTCTGACTCATTTCATTACAGTTGAGACTATCTAAGGACAAATTCAGGAAAAACAGAACAAAATAGAAAAGTCAGGATAACATTGGCTTTGGAAAAAGAAAAAAAATGAACAGGATTTCAACAACTCTTGAGCGTTGTTCAGATTTTCCTTTTCTGAACCATGATTTTCTGACGTTGTATCTATAATGTTGTCAGCTAGAACTACATCTATGTATATAAATACCCAAGGTTATTTTTAGATCTTAAAAAATGTATTAAAACATTAATTAACTTGCTAATATTTCAAATCACTCTCACATCTTTTGTTCCTACTTGTTAAAAATTACTTTTCTGTAATTGATCCCTTGAGGAAAACATAGATAGACACTAGCAGACTTCAGGCTATGATTCCTGTGAAATCCTTTCTTTCAATGCTAATATACAGAAATCTATTAAGAGCTGTAAGATCAAATCTCACTTGCTGACTACTAGTGAAGCTGGTGAGGATGCAAGTAAAGGTGCTTTTTGGGTAGTTTCACCCTGATTACTCTGTGAACTTTGATAATTACGTATTATTACTTTGCTGAGACTGATGTCTGGCTTCCACGTTTGTTTTTCTGCTCTGTGCTTCATCAGAGGGACTTTCAATTGCAAAACAAAGAGATCTAGGTCTTCAAGGGATCAGGTGCGAAGACATCTGCCTCATCTTTCAGACTGCACCATTCAGTTCAGGTTGTTTTGATTTTGGCCTAAATCAAGAGCCTACTTATCATAACATTACCTGGCTACCATCTCTTGATAATCTATTTCTCTGTTACTGAAATCTCTGCAGCGCAACATTTGACCATCACCGGAAAATATCCCATAGTATTCAGCATTTTCCTTTAGATCCTGCCATGTGGCCATTTCAAAGTACCTTGGGTGGTGAGGAGAAATCCAGCGCTTACTTTGCAAATCCTCAGACAGAAGACGCTGTGGTTTGTGCATGATGTCTAGTAAACCGCATCATTCTCTAAAGCACTTACTTTCTCAAATAGAAACATTACTCCTTTCTTCCTGAGGAGCTGCCTGGTTTTCAGTATGGAAAAATACAGAACAAAAAAGACTCCGGGATTTTAAAAAGTCACAACTGCCTCTCTGTATTAATCATGTGAAAGAATTTTCTCATAGCTGACCCAGCTGTTACTGCTTGTGTCTTACTTGAGTGCTAGGCAGACAGGCAAGGCTTAAAATCTCATCATTTCTCTGTTTTGGAGGGTTGCATTCTACAAGTGCCAAAACATCCTGTCTCTCTGTGCCTCACAGAAGTTGGGACAGGCATCTAAGATGCAAGAGCTGAGTATGGCTGTCAGAACTCAGGGATGTCCTCTGCAGCATGTTCCCAACTGTACCGAGGGAGAGAAGGGGCTGGAACATGGAGCTCATCCGTGCATTGCAGGGGCCGCTGGAAAACTTCAGTACCCAGGAAAACTGGATGCAGGGCATATGTGGAGAATTAAGTGCTTGGCTTATGTCTCTTGGCTGCAAGAGTACCTGCATATCCTGAGTGCCCGAGAACTTGCCATATAAACATTTAATTCCTTCTAACTTAGCAGATAATACGGAGGTCTTGAATTTACATTGTCCTGCTGTTTCACCCTTTTTATATTCCTTCTGGATGAACTTTGCTTTTGCATCAGCATTTTTTAAAGCCCTGATTACAGACAAGTGGAAATAAGAAACTCACTCCTTGAATGGTTCACAGCTGGGATAATTTGCTGAGATATGCAAAAGTTGGGAGGAGGCAGAAGATGGTAGGCTTGAATCAGAAGACTTCCCAACTTAGGTGCTGTCCTGCAAGTATCAGATCTGGGATCAAAATTAAAAATAAATGCTCCATTTTACTTTCTTGAATATCAGTAGTTTGTTATGAAAATCCAGGAGCTGAGGCTCAAAATTAATTTAATTACCCTAACCTTAATAGGGTAGCTTCAAATATTCATCTACAATATCCAGGGACCACCTAAATTAAGTTGATTGAAAATGGTTCACAGATTGCAAATGTACATCAATCTTTTCTGTCCATCCTCGGTTCTGAGAGGAGTTCATGTATAGAGTACGTTTTCACTTCTAGCCGATCCATACGTTGTAACAACTGCAGTCAATACACTGATAGCACGTGCCATTTGTAAACAGATGAGGATGACAAACAACTTAAAATTTTTCCTCAGGAGATGTACAAGCTCTCCTGGTTGATACATCATTAATGTGCTCCTAATTCAGCAGGCCTGGTTCATTTGTGCACACATTACGTTGCATTCCTGTCATCAATAGCAGTGATCAGAATTTTAACAATGGAAAGGCAGAATATGTGAAGGCACACCTCCTTCAAATCCATCAGTGATGAGGCTTAGTCAGCTCTGGGAGGAGCGTAAGACCCCTAGAATACACCCTATCCCATAAGACTGAACCTTCAAGTTTTCCAAACTAATTCAATATCTACTCTGAACAAGCCTAGTAACTGCTTAGACAGATTGCCTCTGAATCAAGTCTTGCTGTCACAGGACATAGCTTGCTAAGATTTGAGAACAAAATAGCATATGATTAAGCAAGTCTCTTCTGGCCTTACTTCTTATGAGACTAAGAGGGAAGGCATAAGCTTATACACAAGAAATCAGACTTCTTAGGAAAAGGGCTGCAACCCTGGCCCTTTGTATAAAAGCCAGCTTTCAGCAGAAGGCACAGTAACTTCCTGTCCTAAGGATTGAGGGGTGGCTTTGGGCTAGCTGTCACACTTATGCCTGCCAAAGAGTTGCTGACATGAGCAACAGGGTGTGGGAGGGAAGACTGTGGGTTTCTTTACTAGTGCAAATTTCCTCTTTTCAATTAGGCCCCAGTACAGCTCTAAGCATGATGACCAATGTTTACTCCTTCATACTGCCAGAAAAAACACAAGTGGCAGTTCATCAGAAGCGCGTAAGGGGAGAATTCTGCATGCAACAATAATGTAGGACTAATACATGCAGTATTTCCAATAGTGAGGTCATTCAAATATTTCCAGTTCTTATTTATTTATTTTAGATAAACTCACTCACCTTGCTCACCTCTAGTGCAGGAGAACCACACCTGATTCCCTGTGGCATAACCTTAAGATTATTCTTTGTTCTTCTCCGTTATATTGTTATTCCTCCTACAGCAATAGCAGGAACTTCATCTCTTTCTATGTAATTTCTCCACAGTGCTGGATGAAGAATCCAAATGGAGTCACAAGATCAGACTTTTCATTCTTTCCCATTTGTTTCTCAGAGTTCTCAGGTCACAGTTTTCCTTTTGTGCCCTGAAAAGAAAGCGTGATGCACAGGGGTATCCTTCCAGGGAATCATTTACATAGACATTATGAAGAGGAATTTAAAAGGAAATGTCAGTGAGGCTCACTTACGTATTGTAGTTTTCCTGGTACAATATCCATAATATTTGTATTGGACCTGCATAAAGTTGCTGTTAAAGAAAAGCACAGAAACTGCATATTCCACCATCCACAGAAATATATGATAGCAGTTCTCTAAAGCACTTTAGGATATGTTCACTTAGATGTATTGCATCAGATATTCTTACCATGGTGACAACTAGTAAATAAATTTCAGATCAATGTAATGCTATTTATTATACATTTTCTCAGTTTTTGACAAAAATAAATGGGTCAGTAATGCACTCATTAAAGCTTCAATGAATTCAATATTCAGAATTTAAGAAAATGTTTACAAATTGCCAAAAATTACATCCAGATAACAATTATACATATTAAAAATAGCTATGTAGTTCAGATAATGGACAACTGCTCTGGTTTGGTTCTGGTTTCTGATAAGTAATCAAGAGAGTGTATGTAATTAGTTTTTATATTAATCTTTTATGAAGATAGAAATTTTCTCCATCCCTGATATAATCCTAACTGCTGTTCACAGAAGTGATAGAAGCTGCAAGAACACCCAGCTATACTGTGGGTGTATTTATGTAATCATGTATATTCCTGTTCATAGATAGATTAAAAAACAAATAAATTCAAAGCAGCCATCTAATTCATAAATCCTGCCAGACAAAAAGGTTTTGTGGGACATACAGAGATTGCAGTACAAAAAACCCAAAAGAAATGTAAAAGTCTACTAGCTTTAAAACCAGATGTGATAGGCCCCTATGAAGTCATTTCCTACTGCTATCCTGCTGCCTAGCTGCACAGGTTGTGTTGTTGGTCTCTGGAACAGACGGTCTTCTCTTATAAACTCCACAGTTACTGGACAACAGAGGTATTTAATTTTGAAGCCCTCTTTAAAAAAAAAAAAAAAAAAATCCTGTTTTAGATTTGCTTCTTGATGAAGATTCATATAATTTTATTGCAGAGTAATATTTGTGCAAAGCGTAAATCCCTACTATTTTATTTCTGGAATGATTCAAAGGCTTTGTTGCCAACTTTTACTGTGTTGTATTGGTCCGCCTGCCAGCTTCAAGTGCTTTGTTTTATTTTCTGTCTGGTGATTGCTACACTCCACCCATCTCCACATGCAACTGAAACGAAGGCAACAAGCATTGACTGCAAAGAAGAGCTCCACAGAAGAGCTCCAATAATTTCTATTTCTCTGCATATCTTTTTCTTGAGTAAAAAAAGAAGTATTGTTTCAATGAACATGTTGAGAACTTCTAGATAAATATAAACAGTTGCATGAACCATCTCTCTGACTCCAGCTGGTCTCAGTATGATACAATCTACCAGAAAAGTGACAGAACACACAGCTCTTTCACATCTGTCTTTATGTAGCACACAGTTTTGTCTGGTAGAATGAATCACAAGTATATGTAAGTAATTCTAAATATTTTCTGGCAGTATAAGACAGGACTGGAGAGCATCAACGATTTTCTGGACATGTTTATCTCAATCATACAACCATAAGGAGCAGCAGACACATATTCCCATGGTAATACAATGCTCTCGTGTCAGAAAATCTAGCTTTCAAATTTGGACCTGTCTTAATGAAATGTTAATTCACTCTTTATAAACTTTCTTTGTAGTTAACATTCCTTCTTCATTGTATAAAAGCACATTGGTCTAGCACACTGAATGCTGAAAGCAAACCTTAATTGTGTAGGCTGATCCTGACTCTTTGTTCACAACTGCTTGAAGGAGTTATGTTTTCACTCTGAGACAGTCTTTGTTGAGCACTTAATGGCACATAAATTCCCTGACTCACCATGCAGGAAAATGTCTTGCGCAAAGGGTTTTCTCTTTCTCTGCCATATATTTCAACAAATTCAGCATTCTGATTGTTTTTCTACCTGATTTACTGTCCCTCTTGCACAGGAGAAAAGGCCAAGGAAAGCTACCTTTCTTGCATAATTTTTATTACATTCTGAACTAACCTCTTAGCATCCTCCTGGATTTAATTTCTGACTGAGATGAAGCATAGCCATATGAGGATACAGGTCCAAAGACAAATTACTGCAACTGAAACTGACCCCATAGCCAAAGCAAAAACTCAAGTTTCATATTCTCCACAGTTACCACCTTCCACGCCCTGCTCTCCTGCAAGTATTTTTCTCAGCGAGGCTGTGAATGCAAGAGTTGTACATTGTTTTGTGGTTTCTTCCCTGAAAGAGATGGAATGACTCTATCACATTCCTTTTTCCACTCTGTCACCCATTTACAAACTTTGTAGGAAATACAAATCAGTGAATTTGTATTACCTAAATCAAGATTCTCATTCTTTAGCAGGATCTGTCTGTGCATATAATCTGTGAGAAATTGTACTCCAGCATGCAATCATCCTATTTTTTGTAAGAGAAACTCAGGGAATAGACAAGCTTCTTGTTTTTATGGTGGTTTTAGTATGCTCTTTTGCATCACTGATTCTCTCTGCTTTTCTCCACAGGGGAGGAATTCCAGTTGTAGACAGGTGACCTTTGCATTACTATTAATTAACACTTCGACATGGAAGTTAGCACTGCATGCAGAGAACCAGCTACTTGAGCTGTGTGACAGGCAAGTCAGCTACTAACAACTCTGTCCAAACATGGATGCTTCCTTCCTACAGCTTTTGCGAAGCTGAGCAGATGTGCATATACTGCAGTCTTGGAGACAAAAGGATATTCCAGAAAATGTTAATGAGAAAGTAAAGTATATTGCCAGAACATGTCATCTTTAACACAGGCCACATATAATTATTTTCTTAGAGTAAGATACAGAGAATGCCAGGGGTCTTGAAAAGTTTTTAACAGAAGGAAGCAAATGGGTTAAAAGCTCTCCTAGGATGTCTAATTACAGGGAAGTTCAGATTTTTACTTCTCCAAGAACCCAAAAAAATAACTTTCTCTGAATTTTAAAAAAATTTTCTCTGTAAACCTACAAATTTATCTCTTAACATTAGAAAATTCAGAGATCTGTATGACTGCTTTATCAAATTTCTTAGGGTTGTAAGCAGCTCATAAGTCAGACTCTAGAGGGATGAGCTTAGAAATGATCTCAAGGCTAGAGCCTGAACATAACTGCTTATTTTTCAGCGTGGCTGTTCCTTGAACCTTCAGCTTGATCACATAACATGGATTTATAACCTGTTCAAACCAGCGTTTTCAATATCATGCAGTGGAGGGCCATAGATCTGTCTTCTCTTGATTGATCAAATTAGCTTTCTGATAAATAGTAGCAATTAGGCTGCCACTAATCTAAAGTAATACTCAGGCGGAAAAAAATGAGCTATCTACTGAAAAAGCATGTTATCCTTTATCTCATAACAATTAATGAAAAAATACTTACGTTGAATATCCACTCTTCTGGCAGTAAAACCTTGTATGTCAGGATAAAAAGTTTTCTGGTGTATAAACAGTACTAGGTAAGAAACGTTTTTTAAAAAGAAACATCACATGCTTTAGACACTAACTTTTTCCCACGTTCAATGTCCCTGTTTCATGGAGAGATGACTGAAAGAGCACCTTGGACTGGTCGGATCTGCTGGCATCTAATGGCTGTGTAAGATTTCCTCTCTGTGTTAGGAAGTGCTTGGAGCTCCCTCACGTCTTCTTGTGGCAATTCATTTTCCTCCAACCTTCCCTATCCTGGTGCTCATCAGAGGCTTTTCTTGAAGAGATTTGGCTTTCCTGGTTCTAGGGGCTTGACAACACTCATCAAATCCACATTTAATATTAAATATCTGCACCTGAGGCCCAAGCAGGACTATCATGTTGCTGATTCAGCCTTGAATCTGTTGGCCCTGGAGAGGCTGTAAGGCCTTCTTAAGGAGACTTCCTAGGCTATACTGATACTGAGACAGAATCCCTGTACCACAGGATGTCTTTCACTCCACGATGGCAACTTTCTTCTGAAATGAACATTCCATCTGTTCTCCTGCAGCGCTCCTACAACTCACTGTGTTCCAGTCTTGAGTCTGAATGTTGGAAAAATAAATCTCTTAATCAAATTTAATGTGCAATTTTAAACTTTGCCTGCAAGAAATCCTTTTACTGAATGTGTATTTAGACAACAGCATAGTGTCACTTTTCTTATAGAACAAATCTTGCTGACTGACAGTGGAAAAAGGAATGTGATAGAGTCATTCCATCTCTTTCAGGGAAGAAACAAATTTTTTTTTTCTTCCTTTCCTTCTTTCCTTTTTCCTTTCCTTCAGTATTTGTGCTTAGCTTTTTTTTTTTTTCTTTTTTTTTTATCTTTTTTTTTCAGTATCAGTTATTAGGCAGAATGGATGGAAACCTGCATAACTCATTTCGTTTTTTTTCTTCAATACTAGAAAGAATCAGGAAACATTGGCTTCTTACAGTTTATTTGGAAGATGCCATGTGCAGGGAGTTCAATTTATGGAACTTATCTAATTTTGCTTTTATTTTATGACAATGACAAACATGAAATACGGATTCCTTCTTGTTCTTTAAATTAGAAAAAAAAACAAAAAGCAGCTTTCTAATGATAATTTGAAGTGTTTCTTAAAGCTCCATGTAGTTATGTCAAGAAAGTAGTCTCTCATCAAATAAACATCAAAAGCAGTAGAAGCAAGTTCATCTCAGCTTCTGTCCAGTAAATAACTGAAAGAGTTGGGATCAAAGTTATCTCAGGCTAAGCAGAGATATTAGGCAACAGAGGTAATATCTCTGCTTTTGTTTTTTGTTTGGTTGTTTGGTTTTAAATCCTCCTCAGTCAAATGTTTTTGGACTGAGACTGCATTTTAAAGAAATGTCACCACTGTATTCATAAGGAGAGGTGAAATCAAGTAGTATGACTTACGGCTTGTCTGAGATGTGAGCGGTGCATAGAAAGAACAAGCAACAATATAACATATAAAAAATGACTTGATGTTGAAAATCAAGAGATTTTAAAACCATATTTTTTTTTTTTTTTAAAGAAAGTGTGAAATAAAGGAAAAGAAAACTTGATAAGACTGCAGTTTCATGGCAGTAAATTTACAGGATGTATCAAATCTGCTGCACCTCCATCGTGAATAAAGGCCAAGGTGGAGGCTGCAGCACAGCTGGGGCCAGGACTACGGCAGAGTACTGACAGCAGGAGACACAAAAGCCTCAAAGGGCAGGGACAGCTAGCAGTCTGTTGTGAAGGTGCGCTCCAGGCGTGCGCCCTCTGGTGGACGTCTCAAAAAGCTGGCTGCTGCTGCCATTATATGATGACGTGCATCATATTTCTGTGCAAACATAGAACAAAACCACAGCTCCAATCTTGTCGAAGATCCATGGCCAGGATATTCCTGTCTAATAATAAAACCACTGCTAATTCAGAAAAGCATTTCTCATATATCTCTTCATATAAATCCCACCTCTGAGTTGATAGCCTAGCAGCCACATGCCCAGCAAATTCCCATCATATTAACTAAAGGATGTTGGTGGTCTCCAAACACCAAACGCAGTAGCTCAAGCAAAGCAGCTGAAACTGTGCTTCTTACATGGACCTGGAAATATATAATGCTATATAAGTAAGTAATTAGGCTAACTTAAACCAGCTTTTGATCTTTGCTAATGAAAATCTGCAGATAAGATCCTGTTTTTTTTTTCCACCATTTTCCAAATGCTTCTGCATCCAGTGTCTTAGAAATGAAAACCTGTCTGGAGAGCTCCACTTCTGCTGACACTTGCGTGCCTATCCCAGAGACTGCTCAGCATAGCAGGAGGCTAAATTCCTGCAGGGGCATTCCAGAGCAGCCCAGCTCCCATCAGGTTCATGTGAGCCTCCTGCATGGGCCACCAGCGCCGCAGTCAGCAGGCACCACACACCAAGCTCAGGCACAGGCACTGGCTGCCCGTGGCTTGGCTCTTCCACCTGACTGGAAGTGCTGCTGTCACAGCTCAAGTCGCTGTTTCCTTTCTAAAGTAATTTTTGCACAACCAGAGCCTCGGGTTTCCATTTTTACAGCAGGAGTAGTCGCATACTTGAGGGCTGAATAAAGACTAATCAGATTTGTCATGTTTTCATTCTTCTGCTAGGCCAGGTTGGAGATGAGCCTCCAAGCAAAACAATCAGCAGCCTCAGAGATTTTGGACTTGGCACTGACTGAGCTCTCCTCCATAAGCGTCCCTTTTGCCAGCGTGTCTGAGCTGAAAATAGCAAACCTGGACATGACAGCTGAGGAATATGAGAGCAGGTTAGGAAGTACTAATTACTGCCATTCACTTTTAAACAGCTGCCATACCTGAGAGAACAGAATAGTGAGGTTTGGTTAGAGCAGGGTAAGCGTTTCAGGGCTTTTCCTCCCTCTGCATGCAGTGGGGCTCCCAGGAGGGCAGCACGGCACAGGGCAGGCTGTATGAGTGCCCACCCCTCATGTTGTGCCCCTTATGTCAAGAGCATGTCTGTGCAATTTGATGAGTGAGCTTTAAAGGCACTGCAGGTGTCTCCCCATGCTCCAGACAGTGGCCATTGGCAGGTCTCTGAGTTGAACCCGCTTTCATCCAAGCGTCAGTGTCACATCTGAAGAAAGAATGACAGGGAGGACAGCTGACTTATGAGTAACGTAAGAAGGAACCACCTCTGTCAGGGAAGCAGGGCCTCCCTCTCTGCAGCAATGTGCCAGTGCTCAACTCCTGAGGTAATGTTTCAGCAAGCCAAAATAAGCCTTTTTAATGAGGTCCAGGGTGCATTGTGCCTCTTGCCAGCTCCTCATTAGTGAACTGACTGCACTACAAAAAGGCAAAGCCCATCAGCTCCATACAGTTATCAGTCGCTGCTGGGCCTGCTGCTGATTTACAGAGATGAGCTGTTCGGGGTTAAGCAGACACATGTGGGAACTTGTAGGGAACTTCCTTGAAGTAAGCCCTAAAGTAAGCTACACCTTCCTTGGAGAGAGTTTAAAAATAAAACCGTATGAAGAAGCAGGCAGAAATAAGGTCTGGAAGCAGAGAGCCAGATCTGCTTTTATTTTGCTGTATCTCACTGTGAACATCTGCTAAACAAAAAAGGAGGAAGAAGTAACTACTAAAAGTGATGCTACTATTTCAAGGGTAAAGAACATGAAGATTATTCCAAAATTAACATCAATGATTTTTATTTTTATTTTGAATTATTTTTCCATCTCTTCTGTTTCTGCAGTTGTGGCAAAGTGTTTTGATAGTGGAATGAGCAGAAGCCACGTGTGCCACCGCTCTCTCAGGAGTATTTAAGTATCATATTTTTGCATGTATGAGATCAGAGTAGGTCCTTAATGTGGGTAGTGATTCCAGCAAGGACAAGGCTTTGAAAAAATGGGTTGTTTTCAGTGAAAGTATGATCATTTATGTGACCAAAAGAAAAATATGTAGAACTGTGTGGTCAGTGAACTCCAGGAGAGATGTGATACAGGGCTCGTGGAAGATCCATCACTTGTAAACTATAGTTGATGGCTATCAACTCAGACAGCTTGTTCTTGATTCAACAGCTTTTTGTTGTGTCTTTAGTTTGGAAATGAAGCTACAGTTCACAAAAGAAGTCTCTTGGGAAAGAGAGACTGGCTTGTAGTCCAGGAAAGAAAAATTAATTCAGTGGCAGGTGGGGCAGCAGCATTGTGGTTTAACCTGGCAAGCAACTGAACACTACACAGCCCTTTCCTCACATTTTCCCCCACCATCCATTGTGGGATGGATGGGAAAAAGAGGGTAGAACACGTGATGTACAAAGCAATTGCTCATCACCTGCCAACCAATGCCCAGCCAGTCCCTGAGCAGAGGCCAACACCCCTCAGTTTTACAGTTTCCCCACACAGTGTGTTACAGTATGGAATACCCCTTTGGTCAGTATAGATCAGCTGTCCTGGTTCTATCCCTCCAACTCCTGGTGCCCTGTCTGCATCCCTTGCTGGCAGGACAGTATTAGAAGATGAGAGGGCTTTGTACAGCCCCATTCAGCAACAACTGAAACACTGCTATGTTATCAACTCTGTTTTTCTCCTAAAGCCAAAACATAGCATCATACCTAATGTTATGAAGAAAAACAGCTCCAGCTGAAGCCAGGACAGGCAGAAAAGACTAGGCAGGCTCAGAGTTTCCTATACTGTAGTTCGATTCCCCACTTTTACCCTTCTAGGAAAAAGCTCAATGTATATCAGTCTCACAATGTTATAAATTAATTGCTAGCCACTTGTAGCTTTGTTATATGCCTGCTTCCTTTGCCTCAAGATTTGGCTTGAGTTTTTCTCATAATCAATAAGGGTGAAGGAAAACATTTTAAGAGGTTGGCAGAAATGTAATAAGAATTTACCAGGAAGTTGAGTACTGCATTTCCATAGAAATGCATGAACTGAGATAATTTTCTACATAGGAGGAAATAAGCCTTATGCTTTATGGGTTTAAAAAATAATTTCATGTATCTTGCATAGCCTCGTTGTCCCATTTTTTTGCTTTTTTTCTTCTGATTATAATGGTGCAGTATATACTACATATCTGCAAGTCTAGAGTGGAAGAAAGCAATGATAAGATGCAGGAGCAGATGTACACAGATGTACAGGTAGGTTAGCCACCTGGCTCGGATGTGTGCAGAGATTGCTGCAGAATACAGACTGAAACCAAACCTGCCCCTCAGTCATGTAAATGATGTCACTGCAAAAAGTAGGGGATGTGGCAGGGCAGTTACAGAGCCTTTATCAAAGAAAGGTACATGGAAATTCTACTTTTGTTTTTCCTCTGCTAAGCAGCATACCAGGTTTGATATTGTGCCACTTGCTTCAGTATTCTGGATGGATATTCCTTGTGTGAGTGCATATATTTCAACTTTGGATGGGACTTGAATGTGGTAATTTTCATTCCTGCAGTCTTAGCTCATTAGCCAATCATAGTTTTGTCCCTATATTACACTTTATAATATTTACTGGAAAATATATGCACGTTTTATTTCAGATTGGGGCATGAATTTTATACAATCCTTACAGTATATACTTCTGGTTTGTTTTTTTCTTTCTTCCTATTTTTTTCCATATGTTTTGCTAATGATCCTTTTAAGATGTGTTTTCAATCAAATTTGCAAATTCTCTGAGCTTATATATTGGCAACTCTCACTTCATTGATTAATTTTCTTGAGGTCTTTGTCTGCTGAAACATGATTACTTTAATTTCCAGTCTGTCTTTATTTATCTAGAATTTAAATTAAGAAAGACTCATAAATGCAGCAAAGCATGTGTGTCAAAATCTGTACTTACCGTATAGAAGAAGCAGCTGAATACATTCTTCATTTTCAATGGGATATTAGCAGGAGCAGATGGCTCTGCAAAAGACACAGGAGCTGAGATTTTTATAGGAAAATGAGTGGACAGCATTTCTTTGGCATTAAGTACACACAGAAAAAAATAACCTTATTTTTTCACCTTGTTGACAGACAAGGAAATCTAAAACTTTTGCTCCTTGGGCTATAGCAAAATATGTCTTAAGTGTGAGGATTTTCAGAATACAAATATAAAAGTGTTTTAAATGCAGAATAATAGTTGTTTTTTCAGTCCATTAAGGATTTACATTTCTAATTAATATCTTTGCAGTGCTTTCTAAAGTCTTTTATGAAAGATTAAAAGAATTGCTGGCATCACTTATTTATTGGAAATTGAGATATACAAGACGTATTATCTAAGCCAATGTTATATCAATTTAACTTGTGTAGTCATTGATAAAAACGTCCAAGAAGTACAGACCTCTAGCTTAAGAAACAAAGCCTGTCTATGCAGATAAATGCTGCATGGAGTACTTTTTTTTTCTCAGATGACTAATACTAGGCATAAAAATTATTTACTATTTTACAAAATTAATCATAATACATGTTTTCTGCCAGACAAATGGACTCAACGTTTATGTGTCAAGTGACTTATGCCAAAATCATGTCAGCTGCTAATTTGTACATTTGCAAAAGCACGAAGTGAACAGAGAGACAAGGTTTGAGGTTTCTGAATTAATTGAGAAGTGAGACAGATGTAAATGGAGGCTCTAAAATCAGACTGTTTTTATTGAAAATGCTGTTTACTCTCCCTGGTATTTGCTTACAGCTGCTGGATGCTGGCAAAGGACATTAGCCTTGTCCTTGCATCACCTTTCAAGCAGTATGCTGAGCCTTACCAGTGTCCTCCATCCAGTGGGTACAGATTTCCAAACCCATTGCAAAGGATCTGGGAAATTGCCATTCTTGACCAGTAAGGGCCAGTTACACTTCCAGGAAACATTATTCCACATAAACTTATTTACCTTACTAAAAAGTGTAGCAGTCAAAGGAATAATTTTACATGGTAATATGTTCAGCCATCTGCATGAAGTATTTACAAACAGATCTGACATTATGCACAACAAATCTGATGTTTATGGCTCTGATGATCTGCTGTGGCAGATACTAAAATACAAAAGAAAAGTCTTTATAAGTGAGATTTCCAAAGAGCTAAGCCAATAGAAAGTCAACTGAAATTTAGCTAGAGGCATCTGAACAAAGTGTATAACAAGGTACAGAGGAGTGAGATACGACATCTGTGGAATTCTTTTTAACAGAAAGAGGCCTACTCTGTGTGTCTTTAGAAAGACTTGTTTTTCTGACTCCATAGCTCATGTCCTATCACCTTGCTATTTCTAACAACATACCTGAAACACTGGGACGCTCATTTTGTTAGAGACCTCTATATATTACTGTAATCATGTAACTGCTGGGATTTGGTACCAGCGCTACAATTAACTTTCTGTAAGCCTCAATAAACAATTTCAATGTATTTGAGCCTAAGCAATAAACAATTTCAATGTATTTGAGCTTAAGTTCAGCAGTTTATAAACTGGTAAATATGATATTTCTAGGCATCACAGCCTGATTTTCGCTTTTTTTTTGTGCAAAATATGATACATAAATATTTTAATATTTATACTAAAGACATAAGGACTTTAGGATGATGGGGTGATTGTAGAACAAGTAAGCATGAACCTAATCTCATTCCTTTCTTCAGGAAACTCTCATTGCCCAGCTTGCAAATGACAATCTCTGCCTGCTCTGTTACTTAACATTCCATCAGTAACCTTTCTAGTCCATACAGTAACGAGAACATAACAACATCAGTTTCAGAGTCAGCTTTAACTTTTTTACTTACACATGAATCTTCTACCGTTTTACATAAAAATTCACAATCAATTTCTGTCAGGTCTTTTCCCTTCTTACTCATCTGTTCTGCGTATGCTGACCTGCTTCAACATCTATTTTCTCTGCATTGTTGAGTGCACCGAAATCAGAAACCTGTGTCTCAGCTTTTACAAAAATATTCTGTTGTAAACCGTTCCTGTTTTGGCATTACCACATAGTATTGCTGTTCTGAAAGTTATAAAGAAGTTAATCGTTTATGACAATACAGGTATCAAGCAGAAATGTTGACTACTTCATTGTCTGCTCATGCATACAATGATAATATGTAACACAAAGACACTTTGCACAACAGTTATGCTCTACTAATTTCTGTTCAGCGCTGCAAAAAGAGCAGAGGGTAAATCCTTTACCTCAGGATTTACCTGAAAATCCTGAGCAATGGATTACTTGCTATAGATTTTATGTTGTGGTGCACTCAGACATACTGTCCTGAAAGCTTTAGAGAGGTTCTCCATCTTCTAGAAATCCTGAAATAGACATAATCGTAGATTTTGAAAATTTATAAACTTTTTGTTTGCTCCAAAGCAGCCAGGAAATTGTTTGTTGCATTCCAGGGTTACTGAGCTGTGCTAGGAGACAGAAATTCAGGCTGAAGAAAATGACACAAATACAGTTAAAGCAATGGGTTTGAACCTAATTAGTTCTGGGTACTCAATGCCAGATTAAATGAATCATGAGTTTAATGACTTGGAGTACTGGGGTGATGGGGAATCCATCATTCTGAGAAAAGTGCAGTGGGAACAGATTGTAAACAAGCCAAGATGAAACTAGAATTAAATATTTTGAGGATTCACTACAACATTGATGCCTGAGACAAAGAGAGAGTCCAGAAAACTACAATTTGATGATTTCTGTACAGATTATGGATGTCCAATATCTGCTACAATTTCTAATCCATGATGGAGAAAACATCTTAAAGAAGGGGGCTTGGGATCATGAATGTTATTGAATCCGGAGGTCAATAGAAAAAGCTGCAGGCTTAAAGAAAGCTGGATGGAATAGGGCTATGTAGCTCAAAAAAGGATGCAACGATTAAAGTGAGGACAGCACACTGACACAGAAGACGCATCCTGGCCTCTGAGCAGCTCAAACAAATAGTTATTTGAAAGGCTCCCCCAGCAAAAGTATTAAAATTTACTGCAGGAATTGCCAAGGACTATAAGACACAACTGAAGAAACACTTTTCTTTCTTACTCGACTTTCCTGGTTTACCTGTTTCCTCTCTTTAATGATTATCAGGTTATTCTTCAACAGATTACCTATCTATTAAAATGCTTTGCAGAGTCTTGGTTTTTCTTAAAAAATGTGATTCAGAATTATTGTTTGTCTCATCACTCTGTCAATCTAACCCATCTTAGAATGATTCTAAAGTATGTCAATGAGCTCTTTTTTCATATTTTGGAAACTTTATAACCTTAGAGTATTCATGGCCACAAATGAATTAGGCTGAGAAGAACACTAAAACAACTAAAAGATTTGGAAAACTTCTTACAGAGACCAAAACGAGAAAGAAACAACTGCCAGAATAAGATTATGCTCTGTGTATCTTAGTCTCATAAAAACCTAAACTTCCTATGGTATTCCAGACTCAACATACTCCTCTGAGATGCTTGCTATGCTAGATCCTGCATCAGGATGTATCTACTGTACAGTGGATGTATCTACTGTAATACCCTCTTCAGAAAGCTGCTACTGTCCCACTACATCTTTACTTTGAGACTTACTTCTTTTATTTTTAAAATAAGTTGTTTTAGGCAATCAAGTAGAGGAAAACGAATGCTTAGCTACTTAAATTTATTGGCTGCATTTCTTTTTAAAACAGTTGTCAAGATACTTATTTTTCCTTTGCACTACTTTGTTGGTCTAAATATTTGGCACACAAACTGAATTTTAACAGCTTTTTGTATTGATGCCTCAAAAGGCAGCAAAGCATATTTTTGTGGATAAAACATGTTTTTATTAAACTTTGGGTCTAATACACACTTCTCATGTTACTCACATACAGCAACACAGCATATTTTTGCAGTATTTGAAGTATATTTGGAAGTGCATGAGAAGTCATATTTGGTGAACATTGTCTGTGTGAATAGGATTGCAAGGAGTAATGCTGGTGAAGATGTGGTAGGGTAAGCTGAGACTGCGGAGGAGCAGCAGTACCTTGAAGGGGCTCTGACTGATGCAGGTACTATGCAATGTCTTACAATTATCTTTTTGCTCCATTCAGTCAACATGTTGTCACACAGAAAGAGCAGGAAAATATTGTGGTTCTGTTTTCTTTATAGGGAAGATGTTTCTCATTTATTTCCAAGCATATCAGATATGGCACACTGTTTCTCTCAGAGCACCATCTGCTATACTGCCTTGGAGCTACTATGACTCACATACTGCAGAGAATGTGCTGATATTTTAGCACTACAGCAGAAATGTATATACTATTACATTCGTCAGCAATACTATATCCATGCATGAAAGGCTATGCATGGAAAGCTACTCATCATTATTAGATGTGCATCCTCTATGCCCAGCAGTCCATTAGGAGAAGGGGAATTGGCATCTGAACTCAAATTTAAGGGGTATGTCACATCCAAAATGGGGAGGTGAGGCAAAAGCAAAACTAAACCTTGCCAGATAGTGAATATTCTTTCAGTCTGTAAACTAGCCCCACTCATTTTTACATATAATCAATTGAGTAGCACTTTTTAGAAATGTGAAAACGTTGTTTTATTTTTATCATGATGCTGAAATAATCCATGTTTCCTGCAGACTCTGTTTCCTTAATTTCACCATGGCTCAATACATTAGTGGAAAATTTCTCCCTCCTGGGCACCTTTCAGGAGGAGCATGTCTCCCCTCTCTCATTTTTTCCAGTCTATTTAAAGTGCTGAGAGACTGAGCACTTCGTATTGTACAGCCACTGCTTTCTAATATCACTTGTAGCCCTTTGACCTTAAGAATACTTTCAAATATGGCATTTCTCTGTAATGGAAGCAATAGCCGACCTTCTTGCTAGAGAGGAAATTCCCAGAAGATGTCTACTTACTTTAATCTTAGAGTCTTGTAGTAAGCTTAACCATCCGAGGAATACTCAAAAGAACCAACAAGGGAGCTTA